AAATCTTTTAAAAACAGTAGAAAAGAAAATCAGGCAATTTGAACTTTCATTTTATTTTATTGCAGATTATTATTGCAAAACTCTTGGAGCCCTCTCCTGTGATTCAATGGTTACCCCACCACATCATATACAGGAAAATAACACCAGTCTGCATGTTTATTGTATCGGTTTGCATTTCTTTTGTTTTCATCTGATTCCCAAAATTTGAAATGATTTAGAATGTTACTTCAGAGGGGGGAAAACATCTGTGGAGTTTTGTTCTTTGACCAAGCCTGGAAGACGTAATTCTCTTTAGGCGTGACTATCTCCTTTCTTCCAGTTACCTCTCAGATGACAGCAGACTGACTCACCTCTTTCTTCTGTAGACTGTCTCATCAATAATACACAAGGAATGTCTAAGAAGACAAACCCCTGCTGGGCGGTGGCTGTGCAGTCTTTAATCCTAGCACTCAGAAGGCAGAGGCAGGTGGATCTCTGTGAAATAGAGGCCTGCTTGGTTTATAGAGAGTTCCAGAACAGCCAGGGCTACAAGAGAGCAACCCTGTCTAAAAGAGCAGAGAAGGAGAGGAACCCTTGTGCCCATGGCCTATTTGTTTCCTTGGCTCTCTAGCCCATTAACTAATACTACAGGAGCTTTGTCTGTATTTGTGGCCACAATCAGCACTGTGGGTGATGACAACAGAGATCCTAAGCTCTGGCCATTGTGTTTGAAAAGATGGGGTTTGAGGAAGACTGTTACAGTATTTCCAACAGCCCCTTATGATTGTGGGCAACTTTTCCGAGGGTCTGCTCACTATCATTGCAGTGCCAGGATCGTGCAAGAACAGATCAAGGCCAGTTGTGTGCGGCTAGGATTTCTGTCTTACGTATTCTTGGTATTGTAAAGTCACCATGCTCTACCAGGTGACTCACTGTACCTTTCCCTGTTCCAACTTGGGGGCACAGATTCAAACTCCCCAGATAGAGCCTGTGGTCTGTGTGGAATACGGTAGACAAAAATATTAGTTGTACCTGGTCCCTGATGAAGCCTTACCTGGATGTCCAAATTGTTTCAAATATGAGCGTAAATGTAACTATTATTCATTGAATTGCCTTTTGACCTCCCTTGTCATCTTCTGGAATATACACAATTCAACCTTTTTTTCAGTAATTTTGTCTTACATGTCTTCAAGGTCAAAAATCCCTTCCTCTGTTGTTTTATCTAGGCTGTGCGTCTACATGGAGTTCTTTAACTCCAACACTCCGGTTTCTGTCTTCTCATCTCTGTCTCCTCACCATCCCACTCTCTCAAACTATGTATTGGTTTCATATGTCATTTTGGGGGCATGTTTGTGTTTTCTCCTATATTTCATTGTGTCATCTTGGAATATTTCTTTAAAACTGTCTTCCAGGAATTTTATCATGTGGTTTTTATTTTCAGAAGTGCACTTTATTTTCTTCAAGGAGCTTGCAAAGGAAATCGAGTTTCACCTCTAAGTTTACTCCAGGCATTATTCATACCTAGACCTCTGCCTTGAGACCGTCGGCTTTCTTTACTTCTCTTTCTAGCATTAAGAGAACTGAATGAGATGAATACCCCTTCCTGTAACTGATGGTTTTAAACGTCAGGATCTGTGTGCTTCCTCACATCTAATCCTTGAAGTAAGTATCAGAAGCGGCCACACTCCTAACCTGCACACGCAACAGCAATAGATCTGACCATTACCATTTTTTTGGGGGGGGGTGGTTTATAAAATGTGGGTGATTTTGATTTCAATAATCCATAAGTTATTAATTACATGAATTAAATTAAATAAAATGTCTAGTAAATAACATGAAAATTATTTTTTTTACTTTTATTGATTCTTTGTGGATTTCACATCATGCATTCTGATTTCACTTACCTTCTTTTCCTTAGTATCTATTCTCTGCCCTTGCGACCTCCCTCCAAAACCAAAGTAAAAAGAAAAGCCAAAAAACAAACAAACAAAAAACAAAAAAGAAGAATCTTGCCATGGAAGCTGTGGCGTGGTTCATCGAGATGCACAGCTTACCCTGTAGTCTGTTCATCTTCCATTGCCTGGTCAGTGGTCTGCATAGAGGCCTCTGGTTTCTGCTACACCGCTGACTATGGGCTCACTGGGCTCCTCTTAGATATCTTGTTGTCTTGTTTCATGAAGATTCTGCTGGTTTGGATCTGTAGGTTTGTCCTCTTTCTCTGCTCCAAGAGCTCATAGATTTGGTAAATGTTGGGGTGGTTAGCCCAACCCAGCCCTGGCTCTGGGCCTGCGTGGCATCTGCGTTAGTCAGCTCACTGATTTCTGTTGTCACTACCTAGATGAGCTCTGCCTCGGCTAGCTCACCCAGAGCAGACTGCAGTATGGAGTGGGACCAGTTCTGCTCTTGGGGCCCTAGATCCAGACCCCCAACTCATATCCGCCAGGGTCAGCTCTACTATTTTTCCCAGGCAAGGTACAGGGCCCTCTCTCCCGACTGCTGTAAGGGGTATGGTGGGGGGTTGGAGGAAGAGACAGTCAGTTCTCCTGCTCTCCTGCCCTCAGGACTGGCTCACTACTAGCAGCCCAGACAACAGGGTCTGCTCTAGTGTGTGCCCAGGCTGGGTACAGGGACAGCTTTCCTGTGTGGTGCATCGGGTGTAGGGCAGGGTTAGTTCTCTCACTCTTGTGATCCCAGGGTCAGCTCTCTCACCTGCCATAGGCAGCAAGGGGTGGAGAGGGAGGTCATCTTTCCTTTACCCATGCCACCACATGACCCCTCCAAGGTATGGTTGAGGGGAAGATTTTTATTGCAGATATGAGGAGAGTACAGCCAGAAGCATCTGGTAGAGTCCAGAGCAGGACGAGAAAGCAGTAAACTGGACATGGCCGGCAGAATGAACCAGGCCATGGCAGTAGGGGGCAGACTGGGTGGGGGATGGGTACCAATAGAGAGAGGACCAGGAGGACCAAGAGTCAAGAGAGCAGATGGTCCAAAAGGCAGGGCCAGCTCTGTTGCTTCTGTTGCTCTCAAGCTCTGCTTCAAGGGCTGGCTCACCTGCATCCCTGATAACAGGATCACCTCTACTGTGCTCCCCGGACAGTTACTACAGATTTTAATAAAATGTGAACATAAATTTGTTTTTACATGAAATTGTATAGATCTCAGAAATACATGAAAATTAATAAAAATAGATGATTGGCAAAAAAAAATACCAGGTCAGTCATCTCTATGAGACTGATCTCCCTGGGTATGAATATATTATATTTCTCATATATGTATGTTTAACATTATTAAAGTGTTTCCTAAATTCATATAAATCCAATGTGATCAAAGTATAAATGGGAGTCACTTGGAATAATCCAGCTAGATGTTCAAGTTTGAGGTGTTAAACTACCCAAGAAGAATGATTGCTAGAGGACCCAGGTTCGTCTTTGCAACACTCTTCTTCCAGAGAAGGAAATCAGCAGAGTGATTTCCACCCTGACAATCTCCTAGGCACGGTAACTGTATTTCTTCTGCTTCAGGTAAAGATGGATTCCCCTGACGTCCCTCAAGGGCGTTTGTAGGTCAGACCTTCCCCTTCCCATCACTTCCACCAAACACACTGCAGGTCCTTCAGTTGCCCAAGGAGTTCAGCATGGAGTTTGTCCAGGGGGAGCAGCAGTCCAGGAATCAAAGGAGCTGCCTGTGAGGAAGATTTGGAGCCTCAGCTGGAGGAAAGACTCTCTGGAACTGGATGCCACCCACCATTCTCCTCTGGAACTGGAAGTCACTTCTATCTCTCCTGCAAGAGGAAGAGGAGGCTTCTCATTTGGCCCAGGAGCACAGATGTCTTCCTGCTGAGCCTGGGAGAGCTCTGAGGCAGCTCACAGCCCAGACCCAGCAGGGCATAGCTGCACATCACCAGGGAGGCCAGGAGGGGGAGCAGGAGGGCTTTGGGGCAATGAGGGGGCTCCTGGCCTGGCTGAGCTGAGTCTGGCTGAACCTTGGACTCTGGTTCCTGTGAAGACAGCCTGTTTATGCATGGATTTATGGAGCAGACACATTCTCACTTCTGAACGTTTCTCTACAGTTTACTTCCTTATTTCTACCGGCATGTTCTCCGTGTGATCTGAGATCACAAGCCTAAAATCATCATTTTGCAATGAAGATGAACGTTCCCAGTAAACCAGCTATTTCACTCCAGATGGAAATTATCATTCCAACGATGATTTGGTCTATATTCAGAAGTGTACATATGTATGTAATCATGTATTTATACACATAAGCACAACTATGGGCTTTTTGTATATTTAAATATTGGTTTGGTGTAGGTAAAGGCTTTTAGCCACCGTCTGCACCTCCACTTCCCATCCTCTCTTTACATGCAGAGTGATGACCCAGAAGCTCTCTGGGCTTCTGCAGGTGTTCATTGACATGCTGAACCGTTCGGTAAAGAAGCATTTAACATCAGGAGCACAGGGGGGTTGTGTTTTAATTTGAAGGTGACTCATTACTTCTCTGAAGTTTTTCTCCTCCAGGGGAAAATTCTTGCAGACTGTGGAATTGTGGGTCATTGGTCTCTCAAGGTCACGATTATTTCAGACATTGCCCTGTCTGGCTACATTTTTCATACTGAGGTCTAATGTTCTCCCAGCTGTAACCACCCTGAGTGCGGGTTCTTTCTAGTTGTGTCTGAGTGTGCCGATTCTAATCCTAAGGTGATGCTGCTTTCCCTCACCATGTGGCTCACACAGTCTGTCATCTACTACCACTTTCTAATATACAGTGACAAAGGTCCTCAGTGTCCCTCCTCCCACCCAGATAGCCCAAACACTGTCCTATGGCTTCAAAACTCTTGCACTAGAGGTACTGTTCTCTTAGGTTTCCAGTATACTGAATCACAGAGGGTTTCAGCTGTATGAAAGGCCTGTCTTCAATAGTAACCCACGCCCTTGGACCTTTGGGTATTGATTAAAGTGTCAGTCAAGAATCCTCAGAAGGTGGTTTTGTTTTGGAAAAAAACGGACAAAAATTTCCAATTTGTCATAACTCTATTTTATTAAACAAATATTTCTTATTTGTCATTCTTCTTCTTAAATACTGACTTCTTACTATGCTTGACAGTGATGAACTGATGACACTTACCTTCACTGGCAGCCAATTGTTCAGGAATTAGTATCTTAACACATGTCCAGGCAGGCAGTCTGATGAACTGTCCACACTCCATACCCCCCAAAACGTCTGATGTATTACACACACTCCATACCCCCAAAACGTCTGATATATCACCCATACTCCATACCCCCAAAATGTCTGATGCATTACCCACACCCCATAGCCCCAAAATATCTGATGTATTACCCACACTCCATACCCCAAAATGTCAGATGTATTACCCACACTCCATATCCCCCCAAATGCAAAATGTCTGATGTATTACCCATACTCCATACCCCCAAAATGTCTGATGTATTACCCACGCCCCCAAATGTCTGATGTATGACCCACACTCCATACCCCCAAAATGTCTGAAGTATTACCCATACGCCATACCTCCAAAATGTCTGAAGTATTACCCATACTCCATACTTCTCCCCCCCACCAAAAGCCCCACCATCACCACCACTGTCTCTTACTCTATCCCTGTGCAGCTTAACCATCCTGACAGTCTGTCTGTGCTTCATCTGGGAAAACAATGTGCTCTCAACTTTTATAATGTTTTTTCCGAAATGTGATGGTGTTTAATGGTGGGCATTTGTTTACTACCCTTTAGTTACATTCTATTTCATGGTGATGTAATAAAAATACAGGGAACTAAAAGAAAGACTAAAGAGCAGTGCCAATTTTTTTCTCTCTGACTCTCCTTCACTTTTCATTTATTATTTCTCCTTTTCCAAAAAGCTAAGCTCCAAAGTGGTTCTGTAGCTTCAAAGAGTATGTTGAGACCTCAGTAGTCATAAAGCTAAAGGAAGTAACCTCTGCATAAAGAGGGAAAACTCGGTGGAGCAAAGCTGGGAAACTCGGGACAAGGTGAAAGCTGCTGCTGAAGTCCACAAGGACAGGTGAGGGGCAGGGATTAAAAGGAGAGTGACTGCCACGCCAATCAACCACGCCGACTTACCTTTGTAAGACCAAATACTTGTATTTCCTCTCATTTAGTGGGGATTTGAATAGCTTTGAGGGAAAGGAGGAGTCAGACCAGCTAAGGCACAGAAGCCTGGAACCAGACCCACCCACTGTAACACTAATCTCCTCAGGTAGGATTATATGTTAATAATCCTTGAAGGCAGTGAAAATGCTACTTCCAGAAATCTAGAGGATAAAAGGAAAATAGATGATCCCTATATTCTTGTCATTACTTTTGGCAACAATTATAGTGACATTAAAATTAAAAAATGCTAATTATGGAGCTTACATTGCTATAGGTCTTTGAGAATATTTACTCATATACTTACCTGATGGCGTAAGTCACAAAACAATCCCACACCAGTTCAGAATTATGAATAATAAAAGGGTTATTTATTTTCAGGGAAAATTTACAGATCACTGTTCTAGACAACAGTCCTCTGCGAACAGGAACAGAGTCTAGCAGCCGGAAGTGGGAGCCGGAAGCAAGAGAGTGGGTGCACATTTACTACTGCTTTTACAGGATGAGAGACCATGCCCAAGTGGGCTGGTATCTTAAAGGCTGAAGGAGCAGAATGTGTTTCCACCACACTTACCTAGCCAGCGAGATGCCATAACCAGGAGAATATCTGCACGGCCCTCTCTGGAAAACTGTTGGAATGATATTTTGGAGACAAAATTAATCTTCAAAGTTAGAACACGGATTTAAGGTCAAGTTGGGATATGATTCCTCTGCAATAATCTGCCAGAGAAATGGAGACTGAGGTGCACAAGAGAGTTCAGAGTCCAGGGAAAGCCGTGGCGTGGAGTCGGAGGAGGGTGGATAACAGCGGCTTACATGGGTTTTCTTTCTGCTTGTAGGGAAAAAGACGAAGTGCTTTTTCTGTTTGCTCTAATTTATGTGTATATGTGTGTCCACATACGTGTGCCAAGGCTGGATGCGTTTGTTTAATCTTTGTTTGCAACTGGCATCAAAATCGATGTTTCCCCCACATTTCTGCCTCTGTATTCTTTCTCCAGTTTTATAGGCAGTCGTCCTGATTTTACAGACATTTAACAATGGATGAGAACTAATCTAGCAACTTGATTTATCTAGGTAAAAATCCATAAATTAACCTTCATGAAAGACTTTGCTGCTAATAGCAACTGTGATTTTCCAATCTGTGCATTATGTTTGATCCGCTGGGAAGGCCATGAGCCTCTTTGTGGCTAAATGGATGCACAGGCTTCTGTGACCCTAGGTGTGTGCATACACGACATTCACAGCATTTGTATTCTAAAGAAACTGAATTGTGGGTAGTAGCTGAGAGTTCCCCTGGGCTGCCTGGACTCCAGGCATATTATTCCTTACTGTGATGACCTGTTGTGGCTTAGGAAGAAAGCCTGTCTGCGAAGGGTGCCAGAATGACCGAATAGTTCACAGGCTGCTGTGGTTGGAGTCCCCTTACTGGGGAGACAGGCTGTTGGTGCCTGCTCCCTGGAACAGCACTGTGCTCTCAGTCACCTCTCTTTAAATCTGAAAATATTTAAGTAGTTGACTCCACATAGCCCAGTGATATTGCTCCATCCCTTAGAATGTTCTAGAAATGTTTTAAGCTACTCTGTTTTCCTTGCACATTCTATATATAGTGGGACACATTTGTTTTCTGAGTGAATGAACTTCCTGTGCCCTCTCCATCTTCTGGTGGAGTCAGGATGCAAAAGCACCTAAGCGGGGGAAAGATGGCTTACTGCATCCTCAACTGTTTCACTGGGGTTAACCTGTGTGTTCAAGGTTCTTTATGCAAATGTGTTCTGTATCTTTTTGGACATCAGTGGGCCTAGAACACTGCACCAGGAATCAGGAGACTGAAAACTTCAAGTCACGGCTACAGTCATCGTCTTAGTCCTGAGGCTCTGAATGGTAGCGACCTCTATCCGACCCTGCATGCTTTTCTTTCCCCAAGGACTCTGTCAGTGTTCATCGGGTCATTGCAGGCTACATTCTGTGCCTGTTGCTGTCTGGACTTCATGGCAGAACTACAGGAAAAGGAGTAAAGTCTGGTGTAGGCCCATATTTCTATATGGTATGGCAGCCAGAATCTCGAGTCAGAGGCCACACTTGAGGTGGTCACGTACCCTTCCAGACAGGCTGTCGCTACCCTAGAAAAAGGTCAGAATGTTGTTTTGCTCCTTTCTTTGTAATTTGGAGGATGCCTGGAAAGAGGTGCTAATTCAGCCTACATGACTGAGCTAGCATACTGAGCAAGAAGTGACAGCAGGCATAGGTAGATGTGGACCCGGCTAAAAGCCATTCACCCGGTTACCTAGGAAACAGAACGCTAATGTATTTCCCCCTCAGTTTATGTTTTGATATATAAGGCTGTTTGGAGAATAAACAGGAGGAATTTCTCAGGATGTGAACTCAGGATTTCATGAGGGATCATGGAGAATCTCCCTCGCGCCAAAGCCATGTGAGTTGTGTCTTTATTCCCACGCCTCCATGCCGGTCCAGAGAGATAGTTTATGTTGGGGTCCTGTCCAGAGAAATAATTTAGGATCCAGGCTGCTACTGAACCCTGACAGTCTGTCTCTACTGAGGAATGCTGGGATCAGGCAAATCAGCACTCTTTCAACTCATCCCACACAACGTCCAGGCCAACTTCTCAGTTCCTGAATTTTTAGAACATGTATCAAGTCAATAGTCTTCCTTAAGAAACAAAACATAGTTATGGAGAAGCCCAGGGCAATGTGGCAGTATGGAAATATTACTCTGAAGAGTAATTATTTATATTTTAAACTGAGTTGACAATATAAGCAACAACAAAAATAGAAGTGGTCAGGGGGAAAAAAGTCACATATCACAAAGTCAGCCAAGCTTACACCAACAACCTCAGAAAGAAAAATGGCTAAGCACTAAGGGAATGCGGAAGGAAGAGACTGCTGGACAGTTAGAACTGAACAGGAAGGAAAGGACCATGTGTGCTGCTGCATATTATTTACAAAGAGACAGCCATGAGACCATGCCAGTTCTAAAGCTGTGAGAAGGGGTTGCAGCGTTTTCTCTGCAAAACAGAAAAAGGTGTTTGAGGGGAGTCATCTAAACTGCATAAACTTCACAGCGTGCACACCTGTGTAGTGCATAAACCTCACAGCGTGTGCACACGTGTGAATGTCACACAGTACTGAATAAACCTCACAGCGCGTGCACACGTGCGGATGTCATACAGTAGTGCATAAACTTCACAGTATACACACCTGTGTGAATGTCACACCATAGTGCATAAACCTCACAGCGTGTGCATGCATGTGAATGTCACACTGTACTACATAAAGATGGACAAGTTTCCTCCTTTAAGGCATCAACTAAAACAAAATTCAGTTAAAAATACATCCATCTATGTCACCATGAGCCCCAACTAGCCCATTTACAAGTGGAGGAGAGGAGAGAAGGCCAGGGACAAAGTCCTTCCCGTGTAAACCACAGCACTGATCCAGTAGCAGGGCTGGAGCAATCCACAAGTTGTTCTCTGACCACAGGCAGACACCAGGCTGGTCCCAAGGGAAGTGAAAGTACCCATCCTCCTCAGCAGTCACATTAGCTCCTTAGTTACAATGTGCAGCAGATCACTGTGGTGCCTGTGAGTCTACAGATGTCCGAAGGCTGTCCTAATAATCTCTAGTGCTGCCTTACCCTTGTCTGTGTTTTCTCTAAGGACCCAGTGAGATTGGCACTGATAGAAGCTCATTCCTTCAAAGTGGTAGGATGCTCCCGGGTTATAAGGTCAAGGGAAGAGAGCTTCTAGAAGAAAGGAATGCAAACAACCTCTGCTTAGCATCTTGCAATGCAGAGCAAACAGGAGGCTCCCCTTGCAATGTCACATCCAGATGGGCAGGTCCTCCCTCCCCACCTGAGACCTGCAGAGCCCCAGAGGAATTAATATGCCAAAGTTTCCACCTGCCTTGTACTAGAGACAATGGACACATTCTGAATGTTTTGTTCCCACGATGCTATCCACTGTCAAAAAAGAACTTGCTTGACTGAGTAGGGAGTGTTTCTAGAAGATCCAAAAGTTAAGTACATGCGTTCATTCTGCTACAGCAATAAACTCACTGCATGAAAGAGATTGCTTATAGCTCTGAGACGGGGGGATTTCTACAGAAACAGAATATGAGCAGGTCTTTAGGCTTGACTGGCCTCTCTCCTGGCAGGTAGTAGATCACTTTTCTGGTATTACTTTCTGAGCAAAAGAAGAAAATGGCCCAGATACAGCTTTAGTTACAGCATTTTTTTTTTTTTTTTGAGACAGTGTTCTCTGTATTAACAGAAACTCTCTGTAGACCAGGCTGGCCTCAAACTCACAAAACTCCACCTGCCTCTGCCTCCCGAGTGCTGGGATTAAAGGCGAGCACCACAGCCAGCTGCTAGTTCCATCATCTTAACAGGTAATAGTCAGTAATTTTAAAATGTATCTATATTAGGGCTGGAGAGGTGGCTCAGCAGTTATGAGCACTGGCTGCTCCTCCAGAGGACCAGGCTTTAATTTTTCCAGCACCCATATGGAGGCTCACAACCACCTGCCACCTCAGTCTCAAGGGATCTGACACCTTCTTCTGGCACCCTCAGGCACTATGAGCACACGATGCACAGATAGACATGCATGCAAAACACCCATACACATAAAATACGAATAAATCTTTTTAAAAGTATCTGAAGGTAAAGGAAAAGTAATTCCTCCTTTAGGAACTTCTACAAAATCATAACTTCCACTCATCTTTTTGCTTTTAATTTGTGGCTTTGGCTTTGTTCTCTCTGGGGGAAACTAGGGGCAGATACCACAAGGATGGGGAAACGGCTATTGGACTAAGTGTGAGTTAATGAGTGTGAGTGAGCAGAGCAATTGGGCACTTCTGGAGGGAGAGAAAGATGCCCACTGTGATTTCTCAATGAAAAGTTTTGTTCTAAAAACAGTGGGAAGCGTGCTGGGTGTCTGAACCAGCAAGGGAACACTGCTCAGAACAGCAACTGTCTTCCAGTATGCCTACCAGCTGTCACTTCCTACCTGAGCATCAAGTTAGAGCTACTCCCATGTGAGGAGCCACTGTTTTCCAGTCTTCTCCAGAACTCATCCTAGATGGTTCTTCTAGATTTTAGAAAAATGATTTTAAAGATTGCTATTGAGATAGGTAAAAGATTTCAGTATCAAGATATATACTTTTATAAAAGTGTTTTTAAGGTACAATATACAACTGTTAGGATTACCAAAATAACTTGTCTCTGCTTCTGAAAACCTCCGTTCAGTGCTGGGATTTCTACTTGATCAGAATCTGCCCCTACCCCCCTCCCCAACATGGGCTGCTGCCCTTGGTACAGTTATTCTCCAGGTACAACTCTTCCCTGAGTTTTCCTTGACCCACAAGCTGTGGAGGCCCAAAACTGTGAGCCTATTTCCATCCTGTCTGAAGGTCAAAGAGTTAGAGGACGCTCAATTTTGCTAGCAATAATCAAGAGTTACACATCCTGAATCAGGATGTGGTTACTTGGTTCTTTTGACAGTAAGAGAGCTCATACAGGAAGATCCACTCCCCCTGACAGATGGCCAGGATATGCAAGTGTATTTCTGCTCCTTCTTTTCTAATTACAGGCTACCTGGGGAGTGGCTGCTTTTAGGATACTTGGTCAAGGGTGGCTTCACTGCCTACACAGCAGAAAGCTAATGACTTGATGTCTCAAAGTGTCGAAGCAAATAACTGTTCACGTTGGCCTTTGTATTGTACCATGTTAAAGAAGTCTTTTGTTGCCTTCTTTCCCCTTTTATACTGGGGTATAAAAGTGTATGGAAAATTAAACACCAACAACTTCAATATTCACTGGAACACCCTCCCAGTACTATCCTGTTTTCTCTTTCATTGTTTTACCGTATCTTCATACACTTTACTTATTTTTCTCATCCCCACGCCCCCACCCTGGCAAGAGATTATTTTTTTCAAAGTTGGTCCCTGACTGGAAGCACTACATCCTGCATCCTTAAAGTGTGGCATTAAATAATATGGGGCAGACGTTATGAGGGCTCTCTAGCAGATGCATCACAAAACACAGACATTTAACTTCTGCTTTCGATGTATAGCTCTTTAGGGAAACCACTGAGCTGAAACCAGATAGAACAGAAAGGAGCTAAATGTGAACAGGCAGAAAGGTGAAGAGATGGCAAAGGTCACCCAGGACTGAGTGACATGCTGGTGCTGTGGAAATGAATCCTGGATGCAAAGGGTGGCGGCTGCCCAATTGCTAACTAAACATCACAGGTCTTATGCACTTTCTTCCAGATGTTTCCCCATCTAGTCGCCATACCATATAAACATAGAAAAGAGACTTCCTTAAAAGGAAGAGCTCTCCTGAGCTATGGTGCTTTCTGTCTCTCTAGACTCCATAACACAATATTGTCTTCTTATATTGTTTGCTTTGAAGTCAGTTACTGAGTAGTGGACACAGACCCAATAAATCTTAGAGAAAGAAACAGTATTTCCACAGACAGTAAAGAAATATTGAGGGATAGCTGACCTGGACCAGCAGGTTGCTCTTTAGTGATAGATAGGGTCCTGGGAGAGGACCATGAGATCAAATGGTATAGAGGATAGACGATGGAGAAGAAAGTTTGGAACTGGGAGGTCTTGCACAAGCTGTATCTTATGCTAAGCAAACTTATTAAGAAGTACAGCACCTTATCTACTACTTCCAGGGCAGCAATGGTGCAGTCAACAGAAACTGCCATACAATGGGACTAAGTCAGCAGGAGGCTAGTGGAATAGCGTTGCACAAGGGTATCTCAAGAGCACTGCAGATCAAGCACACAGCAGTCATAGCCACTTACAGTAGGAAGAGTTGACTTCTCAGGATCCGAATTCACAGTTCTCCTAAGGCCCTGGTCCCAGCCTATTACTGACTCTGCTAAGGTATGTTACTTCTCCGGAAGTGTTGGACTTCAAAGAGTCTTAGCTGATCAGCCCACCTCATAACAGAGACCTGCCATATTTAAAATACTACACTAAGGAAGATAGTATCTAAGTGCTTTACAATGTGTGTTTTTGTTTGCTGTTCAGAACAACTTTGTAAACACGTTGATCTCATTTTAATACAGAGGAAACTGAGGCTTGGAGAGATTGAGATGGTTCAACTTCTCTCTCTCACACACACATACACACACATTTTAATATAAAGCTATTTCTTCCTGTGTTATAAGTTTTGCATTTTCAGTTCCTTTTATAATTTCCACACCCCTTTGCCCTAGAATTACATCCATTTCTCTTGTTCTCTGAATTCCATGGTTCATTTTGCAATTTCAGCTGGTTGAGAACTTTTTTGTGTGTGTAATACTGAAAATCCACTGATTCAGTGAATTTGTTTGGGATCCCCGTGATCCTGTAATATTCTTACAGGGCAAAGCAAAGAGGGTAGTGAAGATGAATTCCTTTATGTGCCCACACCAGGAAATGGGTGTTCGGAAGCTGCAGTAGAAGCATGTGGCAGTGATGCCCACTAGCTTATTGTGCAAGTGCAGGCCAACGGCCTGTGTGTGCTGTTTCTTTAAAATGATGAGAGCCAACTCTCCAGCCTTTCTGGAAGCGGTGAGTCTGGCATTTAGGACTTGTCTTTTGGGGTTAGTTCCTAGTTGGTAGAACACATACATTAAAAATGAGCAGCAAGCAGTTGATGAATTTGCATGTCTTCCTACGTTGGCAGGCGGCCATGCATTTGCAGAAAACTACTAAAATGTTTTTAAACTTTAGTGTACACAAACTGTCTCAACTTTTCTCTCCCTCTGTGTGTATGTGTGCGCGCGTGCGCGCACGTGCGCACACATCTGTAGTATATGGGCATGTTGGAGGGTGTTATTACCTGTTTGCACACGCGGAGGCCAGAGGTTGCCACTGGATGTCTTCCTCTGTCAGCTTCACCTATTTCTTTAGACAGAGCCTCTTAGCTGAAACAGAGCTCCTCCATCTCCTCTAGACAAGCAAGCCCATGGCCCTCTGGTAGTGGTTTAAGTAATGCCTCCGTAAGCTCTGGCATTTGAATAAATGATCCCCAGTTGCTGGTGCTGTTTGGGGAGGCTTAGGTGTGGCCTTGTTGGAGGCATTATGCCCCAGAGGCAAGATTTAAGAGTTTAAATCTCTCTCTTCCATGCTCGCTCTCTCTCTCTCTTCCATGCTTGCTCTCTCTCTCTCTCTTCCATGCTTGTAGTTCAAAGTGTGAGCTGTCCACTTGCTGTCTCAGGCACCAAACTTCCTTGCTGTCAGGCGACCCCACTGTAACAGACTCACCTCTCTGGAATCATGAGCCAAACAAACCCTTCCAGCCTTATGTTGCTACGGTCACGGTGTTTTATCAGAGCAATAGAAAGAAACCAATAACGAGGGTGGTACCAGGAGTATTGGTCACATTTCTATAGCTGTGATAAAACACGCTTTCCCAGAAAATTTACAGAAGGAAGAGTCTATTTAAGTTGATGGTTCCAGAGGGTTAGAGTCCGAGATGGTAGAGCAAAGCGAGGGTGGCAGAAGCAGGAGACCTGCACAATTCCATGCCACATCAGAGGAACCTGTCCTTATTTTCTATCAAAGACATGATTATATTTGCAGGTTCCCTCAAGATAAATCAAGAGTAACAAATCCCAGAGGCTCAGGCTACCTCTGTTTTCTGATCTTAACTGTTTTAGGACCTAATCAGTAGCTGGAATTTCTGGTAAGGTTTGGTGCAGGAAATGAAAGAGGCCCTGACAGAAGCCAGCCTGGCTGCTAGACATGTGCGCAAGGAGCCAGTCTCCACTGAACAACACATACAGCTGTGCCCGTGTGGATCAGAGGTGTGCGCAAGGAGCCAATCTCTACTGAACAATACATAGTCATGCTTGTGGGTATCAGAAAGCCCATGGTGGAAGAGAGACTTGAGCCCCCTTTTGGAAGAGCTGGTTCTCATTTACTAACATATTACTTAGACTGTAAAGATTCACTCTAGAACATTTTTCTGCTTCAGTTATAAAAGAGACTTTAAAAAGTAGAAACTACACTTTTGTGCAGAAAAACTTGGATTTTATATGTAATAATTCAAGCTTATCTTTTAAAACAACTGTCATGCTGTCAAAAGTTATTCTTTATAAATATGGTCAGCTTCCAGTTTGTATTGCTTGGTAAAGCGGGGAAGTTTAAACACTGACTCATACTCAGAGAAACCTTAAATCTTTAATCTGTTCTTAAATCAAGAAGGAATGTTAATCCCATTTAGTCATATATTTTTAGTAT